GTTAAGCTCCACAAACTCCGCCACCCACCCAGACTTTTGGGAGCTCCCTACTTAGCCCAGAAGTCAGGAGTCTCCTTGCAGACAAAACGCGTCTGAAGAGGCTATACGTCCACAAAATTTTGTCAAGGCGGACCCAAAGCTTCTAGACAGCATCCTGGAATGAGATGTTGCCGATGCTGATGCTGTCACTTTGATTGAAATGAACGTGTGTGTGGGAATTCTCAGATTAAATGGCAAACAATTCCTAGTTGTAGTAGTAGTAGTTCCTTAGCAGTGTGCTGTACACGCTGTGCGCGGCCGAATTCAGCATTCTAGGAGAAAACAGCGGAGCCATCAGAACTTCCAGGCTGCTGGTGGCAACGTTCGCAGTTGATGCGGCCGTCCTGGATTCGCATGAGTCCCTACAAGGTGCAGGACTGGCTGCGTCACCTTCACGCTACGCGCATATAGTTGCATGAAACGGCTTCAAAATCTCGACTAGCTATTCAAATCGCAAAGCAAGCTGTAAATCTCTACGAAGGCACTGCTTATAAAACCGATGCTGACGCCTATCTGGATCTACGCCGTCGAAGTGTGAGACACGACGTCAGCACACCAGCTCCATCGAAAAAGAACAAGTCGGATCGCAACAAATGGCGGCCAAAGGAAATAGGGATTCTGTGTGAAGTCGAGTGTACAGACAGTTATAAATTTAATATGCAATAGTCGTACGTTGTTTTGTAAAGTCTGTCCGTTGAAAAGATCTTATAGTCTCATGACTGAAATGTCGACCATAAAACATCAGAAAAATTCGAGCAACCAAAATTCAAAGAAACCAAAGCGGATTGAAATGAATAGCTTGAACTACTCCCAGCCTGGAGTCAATAACGGTCTGCCAAGGAAAAAAGAATGCCGCATGCAATCGTTTTCCAGCATTGTTCCTTTGCTATAGCCAGGAGACGATCTGCAAAAAATATTATGAAAACGTATAGTAATAGTTTAAATTTTACATCAGTAGAAATAGACTTGTCACCACCTGAAACCAACCTATCGATCGTCTGAAGTAGGGGGAGTATGCCGATTCTCGAATTCTTTTTTCGTTTGGAGTACATGCAGGCATGCATGCAGACTTACCAGGTTCCATGGAGAGAAGTATTGTGCGACTTCCACGTTTTAGTTGAGAGTCAGGCAAATGAGTTCCAAAATTATGTACCCCATATACATTACAAGGAAAGGTTGTTCGAAGAGTGTCATAATACCATAATACAGAGTGCCTGCTAAAAACGCGATGGAAGCCAGCCAATGCGGCATAAGATCAGGCACAGCAAGTCAAAAGCAGAAACCAAGTACATAAGAAATATGCGTTGGATGAAGATCCAGGATTCGAAGCGCAACAGGAGGAACGACTTCAGGCTTTCTATCGGCTGCGCAAGAGAGGTAGCGAGAAACTAACCTGTTGGAAATGTGCCCAGAGAGGACACACATTTTGGGAGTGCGAATCCAAGGTTTCGTTATAAATGTGGTCTGTCACGCGCTGTGCTTCCCAAATATTCGAACTGCTAGGCAGAAATCAGCCTGAAGAGCCTAACGCAAGCAATAGAGTCGCACTCCAAGCCGCCACTATACGGTTTAAATGCCTCCACAAATTATTAAATATAATCTACTAAAAGTAAAACAAAACGAAATATTTACATTATATCAACAGAACGTAAGCCACTTGAAAGAAGTGAAGCAGAATATGAAAAACTCGAGCACGAATAATCTATAAAGAGTCCGCAGAAAGAACACGATTAGGTGTCGAGGATTGGGGCATACAAGCATGGAAAAGGAAACTCTTCAACTTGTGGAAGATGCAGTCCCAGTCAAAGAGCGAGTATACCTATTTTTGGAGCAGTGCAGCAATTATAGCTTGCAGAAGTGGAATGCTTGGTCAGACTGGGAGTCATCGAGCCGCGCGAGAGTTCGTGAAACAAGAAAATGACGCTCAATAGGAAGCCCGGAAAGAACCGACTTTGTCTGGATGCCCGTAAGATGCATACCCGCTGCAGAACACCGTGTTAACACTGAACAGAGTTGACGGCACCATATACATCAGTAGCATGGATCTGAAGCATGCGCTCTGGCGGGTAGAGTTGGACACCAAGAGTCGCGAATAGACAGCATTCACCGGCATGCCTCTCTGTCAGTTCCGAATGATTCGGGCATAAGGGCTATAATTCGCTGCTCAGAGATTATGCAGATTGACAATGATTGTTCAATCGAGTATTCACCTACTCGGATGACTTACTAATCATCCCGAGAACGTTTGAGAAGCACCGGGAGCTGCTGAAAGAAGTCAGCGATTGCCTGAAAAAATGCAAATTTAACTATTGGGTTTAGAGACGGTACACAGCGAACCGACCTTACCGGCCATACTGCAGATGGACTTTTACGGAGAGCGGGATGGTACAGCGAATTCATCCGAGACTTTTCTGTCCTGAATACGAGGCTAGTTCTTGCCTAAGAAGAATGCACTCACAAGTGCACGAGCCAAAATGCATGGAGCACAACGAAATTTTAGCGTAACTATAAGGAATGCTTGGCAGCCGAAGCAGTCAAACGTTTCCTCGCATATGTAGAACTGATGCCGTTCACAGTAATTACGGACCATTCCAGTCTGCAGTGGCTTATCACAGTGAAAGATCTCAGTGGGAGACTCGCTCGGTGGTCACCAGCTCTTCAAGCATTTAACTTTAACATCGAACATCGCAATCGCAAAGACAATATTATGGCAAGAGTGTTGTCTAGACCGTATGAAGTGAAAAAGCATCACCAACTGCGGAACCTGTAAAAAGACAAAACACACGACTATGTTACTATAGGTAAAGATGCCAACACAGAAAGAACAATACAAAAGTTGTATATGGACCCGCACCTTTTATAGAGCTTGATCACTTTTCCAAATTCGTCTGGCTGAGAGTGAAACAAAACGCGACGACTACAGCAGTGGTGTAATTATAACGCGATCATATATATATATTCACGCAGATCGGAGTACCTGATAGAATTTATACAGATTAATATATATATTTTTTTTTAAATTACCGCTTTTTTCCCTTTTTTTTAGTTTTAATTTTCTCACATGCAGTCGGTTTGCACTTGGCTCTGTTTTATTTTTTTTTTGATCTCACTACAACAAACACCGTTCTCTTTTTTAAAAATACCCAGAGTCACACTTATTAACCTGTGATTCCAATAGTTGCGCACGCCTTGAATCTATCGATATATTTCTTCATTTATCGATGCCCATCATCTGTGGGCAATCAAAGCAACATCAAATTGTTTTGTTGTAGAATTCTTTTTTTTATAATATATCGCTGGTCGTAACACCACACTCCGGCTTAGATGCTTGTCCTTTAAACATGAGTGGAAATCGGTCTTTTTAATCGAAACGCGATAAATCGCAACGAGGGAACCCACATTTTTGAGACTTGCTACATATGCACAATTATCAACGGGTTCAAAAGGCATACAATTAAAGAAACATCTCTGGCTCGCGACAAACGCCGTGATCTACTTGCGTGCACATCCATACAATACAAATATATATATGAATGTATGTTTGTAGATTTCGCGGTTTTTTGAGAAGCTATGCATGGAGAAAAAGAGCACACAAGTGCGAAAAGCAATGAGCGAGAGCGAGGTGCACTCTGCACATGCATAATTTGGAATTAGAAACTAACATACATATATTATTAAAAGGCAATCAACCACAGCGACGTTGTGCCCTGAGCGAGATGCGGCTTCATACTGAATGTTCGGCTTTCGAGGCCGGCGTTCGGCTGCCACTCTCAGCAGTCGGACTCTCTCTGGGCACACAATTATGGTCGCAGGCATCCTTGGGGTTCCCTCATTGCGATTTATCGCGTTTCGATTATCATATTTGAATTATTCGGATTTTGACGTATTTATGCATTATATGTATAGTGATATATTATACATATGATATTTTTATTATTTGGAATAATATATATATTATTACTATATATTGTTAATTATAGGAAATTGTCAATATTTAAAGGTAGCGGCCAAGTGCAAGCGGGCCCAACTTAAACTTATTTATTTTTTATATTTATTTTTAAAGATAATATTATAACATATTTACTTATTATATGAAAAGTAATATGAAATTGTTAATAATGATAAGTATTAATTTATTATTTTATTTGCGTAAGTAAAATTGAAGTAGCAAGTTATTGGTGGGTGAGATAAGGGTGTAAGGCGGGTGCACGTCAGGATTTGGGTGTTGGCAGGTGACCGTTGTGGTGAACCTTAACAGAGGTTCACCTTATGTATATTTACAGGTTAGCCGATGGTGTGTTCCAAAAGTAACCGAAATTCGTAACCGATTCTTTTGACTCTATGTGTTCTGTCTTAAAGACACATACGTGGTAAATTAAAAAAAAAGAAACATAAAGTATATGTGGACGCAGGGATGTAAGGAATGTCTGTGTGGTTGCACGTAGAATGTCAAAATATTTGGTAGTTCACAATGATTGGGAATGGCAAATGAAGTTGTATGTTGCGACTGTTCTAGAAGCATTATTGTCGCTTTGCTTACAACTGCCAAGGCGAGGCGACAATGTCGCCGAGTTTGATGGTTTGATGGGATACAAAGGGACAAGGAACGTTGAGTTCTGTTGCTTCCGAAGACGCCTAGCGTACACATCGAAACTCGCTTCGCTCTGAAGCCTTATAGAATAAATAATAATACTCGCACTCCGACATATATGTGAAGATACAATTTAAGAAATTTGTTGTTTCCATAATAATAAGCAGTGCTAAAGCTATTTGAACATTTTTCCAATTTTGAGTAACCAACATTATTATGTACTAGGTTTTTATTTCTTAAATTGCTTATAGGTATTTTGCAAAAAAAAAATTGTTATGAGCATACTTATAATAATGTATGTGTCACAACATAAGTGTTAAAACAGTGGTGACTGAAATTATCGGAAAATATCGATACATTGTCAATTCATCGCAAACACCAAAGGTTTCTGTGGTCGTCTAAAAAAATGTGTCTTTTGATGTCTTGTTGTCTCATGTATTTCTAAAATAATCCACAATTCGAGTTCTTGCCGATCTTAATATCCAGTTGTTGATTCTGATTAAATATGGGAAGAAGAAAATCTAAAAGAAAACCTCCACCTAAAAGAAAAAATATTGAGCCTTTGGATCAACAATTTAACTGCCCATTTTGTAATCATGAAAAGTCATGTGAAGTAAAAATGTAATTTGTACGTATGATTTCGGAAATTGTCCAACTCTTTTAATGCCTCCATGTAATTATTTCAGGGATAAAGGACGGAACACTGCTAAAATAACATGTCGCGTTTGTCTGGAGGATTTTCAAACTGGGATAAACTTTCTGTCGGAGCCTATTGATGTATATAACGATTGGGTGGATGCGTGTGAAACCGCAAATTAAATTTATTATATAAACAATTAAAATACAGTAGGCAAAACAATTAAATATTATATTTATACACGTGTAGAGGGTATTATAATTTGTAATAGCCATGTCTGCCTGTACCAACTACTATTCTCTTAGTTTTAAAGCTATTTTGAAACGTTGCAAAGGTTTGTATTTCTGTTGGAAGCGCTACATATGTATGTATGTAAGAACTGGTTGATTTGACCAATATATTACGAAGCTGCCATAGGAATGATCGGTCGAAATTTATGTTTTTATATGAAAAACTTTGTCAATATATTTTGACTAAAATTTAAGGCTTACTATGCTCCCTAAATAATATCGGACCACTGTATCGTATAGCTACTATAGAAGCGATGGATCGAAAGTTATAGTGGTGTAAGAAAAAGCTTTTTGTTAATTAAGCTACTTTGAGCAAACTCGGTATTTATTAATCATACCACTAACCATATAACATAGTCTTATACAGCGGATATTTATCGTTTTAAATATGTTTGAACACACATTTCCTATTGCATTGCCAGAGGCAAGTGCTACAATGTTAAGCCAAAGACAATATAAACACTAAGATGAGTAACGCCATACAACAAAATGCTACTATACAGCTTGATTTTTTGAAAATTGAGAACGAAAACGAAATATGTAGCATTGCGCTCTCACAGCCGAGAGAACGAAAAAGCTAAAAATAGAATGTGCTCTAAGCTTAGGCTCTATGAGGGCCGTGCAAGCAATTATGTTTGTATGCGTGTGAATATACATACATAGAAGCATATTTGAATGTGTTGCTTTCCACTGCTCTGGCTGGCAAAGAAACAATTTTCGAGGTTTTTAAGCAGAGATCACGGCCTACCCAAAATATCTGTTGATATATGAATGCATTTTGTGTACTGAGGTTGGCTCCGTACAAAATATGTATTTTTAAGTCGATGCAAATATTTATGTATTTGGGATAGGTCATGATCTGCGCTAGAAAACTAACAAAATTAATTTCTTGCCAGCTAAAGCCAGAGCAGTGAATAACAACACATACATACATACTTTATAGTTCTTATGCATGTATAATTCACGCATACAACGAAAGGTGCACGCACGCTATTGGCTGAGACAAGAACTTTTCTCGACAATACACTGTCCAAAAAGAAGACTGAAATCAATCTATGTGTGCTATTTTCTTAACATAGTTATTGCGCAAGAAGCGCCTTGTGTAAAAATTATAAAAGTTCTTCAATTTTCCTGTATCATCATTTAAATAAAGCAAGCATTTCATGGATAAAACACAAGCACTTTGCGTCGCTCGTAACTTCTAAAATGTACTTCGAAAACGAAGCGACGCAAAGCAGCATCGACCAGCTTTGCTGAAGACAGGCTGGCGATTAACTTCGTAGCTCTTGTCAGCATCAGCAAGCCGCGACTTCGGCATTCGTTCGTCTGGTCTTTGGAGAACGAACAACCAGTCGGCAGGCATGCCGTTCGAAGCCTCAAAGGCCAGATGAAAGGCCAGGCTAGAAATTTTGCGTCGCATTCAAATGTATGCGCGTTACTCATCTTAGTGTTTATATTGTCTTTGCCCTTACTAACATAAAGCATGGAAAATACCATGCACATGAACAATCCAAACCCTTTAACAATTTCAATTTGCAGCAAGTCGCAAAAATAAAACATTTTCAATTTTAAGAATTTTCTTAGAACTCTTCGACAAGTCGATGATGAATTACCCTTGCAGATATACGAACTAGTACCCACAGTAAACAAAACAAATTTAAATATAATATATTAATATTTCATTTAGGTCATTTAAGCTTTTATTAAATGATCTACTTGTGCGCACATCCACACAACACAAACATATGTTTGTTTGTAGAAGCTATGCAGGGAGAATTAGATGCACACAAGTGGCGCAATGCAATAAGTGAGAGCGAGGCACATTCTGCACATGCATACACACATATGTATTTGGGCTGTAAGTATTTTAAATAAACATACATAAGTATATTAAGAAAAAACATCAACCGCAGCGACGCTGTGCGCTGAACGAGATGCAACTTCATAGCAGTCTTACTCTCTCTGTGTATAACAAAAATTACCGTTATCGATATAAATTAACAACGATACACCATTTTTTTTTTTTTTTTTTTTGTAAAGGTAATAGTGAAATTTATTTAACAAGATAAGTGTGCTGCTACCCTGCAAGGCAACTTAAACTAATCAGAAAATTAAACTAAAAATAACAAAATAATTCATGATAGAACATGACAATGAATTAAAGATAACTTATAAGGGGGAGGCTTAAGGGGTGATAATGGGGAGATCGTCTAAATTTTAGTATGAGATATTTATGTCAAGACCCGGTTCAGGAGGTCTTAAGGGTGATGGCGTTTGAGTCTCCTCCTTACTCTTGTACGGTGACAGGCAGTATTTAGGCGTTTAGCTTAACAGTTTGGATGAGCTCCTAACCTCTTCGTGTATTTTTGGGCAATCACTTGAATTCTGTCACCTATTTTGGGCACCTTAAGGGCGCGCTCAATGTTACGTGTCCTTATGTACCATGGAGACCCAGAGATCATCCTTAAGGTCTTAGCTTGTAGCACACGGATCTTATTCAGGTGCGACTTGGCAGTAATACCGTACACCTGTATGGCATAGAATAGGCTGGGAGCTAAAATGCACTTATATATTTTGACCTTGTTCTCCAGCGACAATTTGTTTTTGGCGGAGAGTAACCAGGACATCTTGTTTAATTTGGCTCTATATGAGTGCTGCAGTGACGTGACATGTCTTTCGAAGGTAAGGCTTCTGTCTACGATGACACCTAAGTACCTGTGCGCAAATGAATGATCCAGTACTCTTCCATTGAGTGATACGACTGGGCAGTTCTGCACTCGATTTGTGAAAGTCATGTTTGCACATTTACCTGCGTTTATGCACACATTCAATATCGATGCCCATTCCTGGAATGCGTCCAAAAACTCCTGCAGTGCACTTTTGGCTAGTAGTATGCAACTGCTTTTTGTGAGCACCGCAGTGTCGTCGGCGTAGGTCGCTATTAGAGTATCGCTTTTGTCGACTGAGGTGATTGCCATATGGTTTGGTATATCCGCTGAAAATATCGAGTACAGTGTGGGGCCTAGAACACTGCCCTAGGGAACTCCAGCCTCGGTTGATTTATTGGAGGACTTGCACCCATCGTCAGCCACTCGGAATGTGCGCCCTTCTAAGAAGCTCTTTATAACCTGGAACAGCTCGGGGGTTAAGAGTCTCTTGGCTTTGTAAAGAAGTCCAGGGTGCCACACCCTGTCGAAAGCTTGCTGTATATCTAGGAAGACAGCGACCGCATACTCTTTCTTGTCTATGGCCTCTAGCGCAAAGTTGACAACTCTATGCAGCTGTTCTGGAGTGCCATGCTGCTTGCGAAATCCGAATTGAAATTTAGGGATCGCAAGGGTAACAGTCTCGAGGTCCAGCATTCTGTTTAGAATCAACCTCTCCATTATTTTGCTCAGTGAAGGAAGAAGGCTGATCGGCCTATAAGAGTCCACATCAGTTGGTTGCTTTCCAGGCTTGAGGATCATAATAATGTTTGCCGACTTCCAGGCTCTCGGAAAGTATCCCTCACGTAGGACGCTGTTGAAAATAAGCACCAAAAACAACAGTGCTTGATCTGGTAGGAGTCTTATGGTTCTGTTATGGAGTAAGTCTTCGCCAGGGGCCTTATTGGGTTTAAGCTTTGACACCAGCTGCTTCACTTCGTCCAGTGTCACAGTATCTGAAGGCAAAGCCATTTGAAACGGTGTTTCCAATGCCTCCGCAACTATCCTGCAGTGACTCTCAGGTGCAAAGTAGTGCGGCCTGAATCGTTGCTCGAGATTGTTTGCAAATACTTCCGTTTTGTCAAGACTAGTGCGGCACCAGCTCCCTGAAGGGTCCCTAATAGCCGATTTCGGTGTTGCCAATGTCTTATAACTCTTAGTAATTTTCCACAGAGAGAAATTAGTAGAAACATCGGAACCCAAGTTTTCCAACATGTTGTCAGTTTGAATTCTTTTCCTGCGAGCCAGAACTTTGTGAAGACGATTAGCCAGCCTGTTGTGAATCTGTTGGATTCGGGCATCTCCTGTTCTTGCATACTCCTTTCTTACTTTACGCTTGAGACGCAGGAGCTCAACGATTATAGAAGGAAGCTGAGGCGATCTATCTCCATGCAGATGTTGTTGATTCATAGGAGCGGCACTTGTTGCAGCATCTTTCAGCTTGCTCATAAAAATATCGATTGCGTTATCAATATCATCTGCGTCTTGAATTTCCATATTTAGATCAATCAGCTGCTCCAGATGGGCCCTGAAAATTTCTATATCAGCACCGCGTGCTAGTAAACAAGAGCGCTGTGACTTGTTTATCGGAGTGGCGTGTAAATCATGAAGCGTTTTCACGTTAAGCCTGCTCATTGCGTAACCATTAATAACAAAAAAATCTAGCGCTGATGTTGACACTAGGGAGTTGGATGAGTAGTATGTAGGCTCACCCGTGGCAAGAATTTGGTACCGATCATTCGCCACTACATCCTGCAATATTTTGCCTCTGGAGCAATTTGTTGAGTTGCCCCACCATGAGTGCTTGGCGTTGTAGTCACCACCTGCAATGAATTTGTTACCTAGCATGGCAAACAGGGATTCAAATTCCGCTTTAGTACAAGGCTCTTTGGGAGGAAGATACAAAGATGCTAGACCGACGGGCCCTTCCGATGTCTGCAGATTCACTCTTGCTAGCGGTATGTTGTTTGTTGAGATGGGAGGCTGAGGAATGTGGCACATGCTGGAGCGCACAATGACTGTGGCGCCACCTCTGCTGTTACCGCTGGGGTGGAAGGCATGGTAGGTGGAGTAGCCTGGCAGGAAGACACGCTGTCCCTCTTTCATGTGTGTCTCTGTGACAAACATTACATCTATATTATTTGCACTAAGAAACAGCCGGAGCTCTCCAGAGCCCCTAACTAGTCCTCGTGCGTTCCACAATCCGATTTTAATGATCGGTTGCATCATTTTTGGATACTTGAAATGAGAACCTGGACCAATTCTCGAAAGGCCTTGTTAGCCTCCATAGTCTCTTGAACCAACTTGCATTTGGACCAGATTCCGCCCTTTTGGGCCGAGCAACGTCGGCGTAAGACATACTGCATCTGACAGTCTCAGCCGGGATGAATCCACGTGAAGGGCCTTGGTTATGTTTTGGCCTGGCAGTGTTGCCAGTAGCAGGGAGCCTTGGGATCGGTTTCATTTGTTTGCTTTTCTTAATCCTGACGGGGCAGTCTTTGTCGGTCGATCACCACCGCAATTGACGCACAGGAAATTTTCACTCGTGCAAAGCAGAGAACCAGTCATATGAGAGCCAGCGCATTTGCCACAGATTGGGTCCTGAAGGCAATAATTTTTGGAATGACCAAAGATGTGGCATCTCAGGCATTGTAGAACTTCTTTTCTGCGAGGAGCACGCTCCACTGAGACTCTGTATCTGCCGAGTTGTGTAATTTTCAAAGCATTACACACATTGGGTCCTTGTTTTAGATTGACAAAAAATTGATTTTGCCTAGTCTTGTAGTTGATCGTCGCTTCATCGTCTGTCTCGTTGACCTGAACGTTACGCCAATCTGCCTTTCTTGGGCAATATATATTGAGAGTTTCGAAACCCTGGTCAGTAAAAGCTTGCGCAATTTGTGGTTTGGGGACGTTGGCATTAACGTCCTTGACGACAACCCTGTAAGGCTTTTCCTCCCTAAGTTGATGGTGCCAGAATTTACAGTTAAGTTTTGTCAAATGTCTTACAGCTGCTCGGAAAGCGTCAGAGTTTGCGGTGTATATCCGTGATACGCCGAACTTAGAGGTGCGAATGCTATAGTTGTTGGCACCCACGCACGAGTCTAGTGCTTGTTCCATGCCTGAGGATTTGTTGACTTGTGGTACACATATTGCTGGAGACTTTGAGAGCGTTTTTGAGGATTGTTTGTTTCCGTTGCCAACAGCACGAGCTTCATCTTCGCCGTCAGAATCGCTTTCTGACAATCCTTGCTCCATCATGTTGTCCGCTTCTTCGTCCAGAGCTGCAAAACTGTTTTTACTCAGTGCTGCTGCAGTCGAGGTGGATGCCGTGTCTTTGGCTACTTCCTTGTGCAGCTCAGCGGGCTTCGGCTTAGCTTTCTGTATAGATTTAGAAGTGTTTATAACTCCTTTATGTTTTTTACTAGCAGGCAGGCCGCAGTCTTGAAACGAGCACTTCGTCTTACGAGTTGCAGCTGACAAGATTTCACCTAATGTGTTGTCAAGTGACGTAGTCGAGGAAATGTTAGGCCCCACAGTTGCCGCTACAGTATACATAGATGTAGATGTCAAACTTGCTTGCGACATAGAGATAGTGCAGGTAACGCTGGTATCAGTGCTTGTTGTTACTGTCGGCCCAGTTATCACCCGATTTGGCAATAAGCTGTTGTTTTCTGCAGAAATGGATGCTACGCTACCGCGGATTTGAGAGCGTAGAGTTTCAGGGCTTACCCCTGCTGCTTTTCTCATCTCCTCTAGTACAGCTTGCCTATTACTAGGTAGCGACTGATTCCATGAGTTATTGTCCATACCGTCAATTGTTATTATTTAGAGTCAAATAATGCAATTGTCGTCCACTCTTCCAGATCAAAAGATAAGAATTAACGGAACCAACCTCTCGCTTGCGCAGCGCGCAGGGCGAGGGGCAAACTAAGCACCGTTTAAGTCTGGCTTATCTTAGGTAAAGTACCGCAATAAGCTGCCGCCACCGCAAGCAGTGGCTAAAAACAGTGCAAGAAGAGCACAAAGAGATAAGAGGTAAAGAGATTGTGTTGATCACTTGCGAAACTAACTTGTCAAGCGCGCACGTCCGAATGCAATGAGCTGAGATCTGAGACAACACACTATTTTAGCAATGGCAACTAGGGGATTTTTGTGAATATCCTAATGCTCAATAAAATTTAAAAGATTTTATCAGTTAAGCCAAACATGGGAGATAGTCCTACTACTTTCTGTCCATTTCTCCGAATGTAACAACGCATTGAACACAGAGCCCATAGAAGACACAGACACATAATTTATCAAGGAAAATGTTGTCAAGCACCGTGGCAGCTAGCGCAATGTGCATAAATTTCTGTAAATATGTGCACACATTCATTTATATGTAATTCCGATTGTAATTGTATTGTGTCAGCTTCCATACAACATACAACATATTGATGGGACAGCTTAGCCATAAAATTAGTGCGGTCCTACATCGTCGGTATCAGTTTTTTTATTCAATAGAATAAACACACATTTACTAAATTTATTTTTTTACGTTTTATTGAACATTGAACAAGTTTAAATATATGTAGCGCTACAATTCAGCGCACCAAATCCTCAGGATTAAACATACCCTGTCAATTACAAAAAAAAAATAAGTTTTTCAATGGTAAGTTTCGAGAAAAAACAACTTACACGTGCTCGTCGTAAAATAGAGTCCTTACTGGCATCGTAGGGATGATCTTTTGATGGGATTTCAAGAACTGCTGGTACTGGTGAAGTGTGTGCATCGATTATGTGACGAATAAGCTCAGCATATGTTTGATTTATCAAGATTATGTCGATGTCATCACGTTTTAAGAAACGCTTAAAACAATCTTCAATTTCGCTCACTGCAGTATCTAAATAAAACAAGAAAAATAGAAACATTAAGCAATAGAACTGTAATCAGCAAGACCCGCTATGAGATACCCTCCTTCTTCATATACATTTACAGAAATACACATCTACTCTGTCATGCACCTTTAAGTATGAACTGAACATCTCCAACCGCTCAAGTATTAACTTTTTTGGTTAGCATCAATTGTCGAATCGATTCAGTCATGCCCGTCTGTCTGTCTCGCTGTACATATGAACGCTATGTATGCATTTTGACGAATCTATTCGCATAGATATAAGCATAATTTACATAGAGTCAAATCGACAAAAAGTACCTGTCTGTTTTTTGTCCAGCAAGCTTCCCAGCTTGCTCTAAATTTTTTATGAGGTGCAAGAGCAATATAACAGCCGAACGCAGAGCCTAAGCCGTTTCGCCGTTCGAGCACAACGTTGGCATGGCTGATTTTCTTGCTGTATGTAAGAATGTTTTCTTTTGAATTCTAATGGAAGCATATGCATGTGCAGAGTGTAGTTCGCTTTCACTCATTGCCCTGTGTTCTTTAGTGGAAGTTATTAAAGTAAACGGTTATATTGCCAGCTAACTTAAAGCGCAGATATTTTCTGTATGCATGTGCATACATACATTTATATGAGCGGGTTCTATTTAAAATTCAATTGGGATTGTATTGCGTATTAATTATTCAGGTTATTCTACCATGAATCCAATAGCGAGCGTCGGTGGCTTCTTTCTCAATCCAAAGGTATTGGTGTCCCGCCCTTGGGCTCTCAGTGTGAATCGATGTTCGACTTCACTTGTGTAGAATGCTGTCCTTGTGGCTCAGCAATAAATTATGCAGTGTGCGCCTACAAGCAAATATTCAATCCATTGCTCAATTAATTGATGTTGGTTTCCCGGTGGTGGGCTCTCATGGTGAATCGATGAAAATAATGATTTTACGGAAATTGCCTGAGCACGTTTATTGACAGGTCGAATGTCGACTTAAGCTATCAGAACAGAACTAAAACTGAAGCCACCAGCCAACTGAGGCATAAGCTACCAAAAAGGCATAAGCAACACAGAAGGATAAGCTATAAAACTACATACGCAAAGCCGAGTTAGCATAAGCAATAACGCTGCTCTTGCAACACATGTATCTCTTGCATGATTGGTTACCGCCGCTAACCGTTGTGATCAGGACGCTTACCTAAAACATTTGCTGTGTCAGCACTATAAGTGCAATTATTAGCCAACGCGGAAGTCAATTATAAAGTGCTAAATGACTATGTGCAAGAGCACTCGTAGCCATGTCCGTTTTTCGTTTATCTGTATGGGAGATTCAATGGGCCGATGTGGAAGGGCAACCACAATTCGCGAAATTCATGTCATTTTTGTCAGTTCGAGTTGACGGCACAGTTGACCCCACCAGTAGTTTGGGCGATAGTTCTGCGCATTGTTTTGGTTCAGTGTAATGTGGCGCCGTAGAAGAACACATCTTCGTTGTATAAGTTTCCCATTTCCATGTAAAAGATGTAAATCAACAACGAAACTTTTTTTTAGAAATGGCAACTACAGGATTTTTTCTTTTTGTAAATATTCTACACAACACAAAACACATAAGCTATTAAAGGATGTGTGTGGTCATATTGGCAACATGGAAGTTTGCTCAGAGAACAAAAGAGTGTGACAGAACGGCACTGCTGAATTTTGTTTCGGGTGCACTAAAGGATACTGATACTAAAGGATACTTCGTTGTTTGGGGCAAAGTTCTATTTAATTTGTTGTCTCGATTTCAAATAATTGTCTTATTATGTGCCAATAAGAAACTATGGCATCGGGCGAAGAAGAAGTAAGAAGTAAGATTACCTGATATAAGAAATAGAATCATACAAATATATAATTATATAAACATACGCAATTTAATATGATGTTGAGATTCGATTTTCCATTATTTCCATATTTCATTGTCGCTTACGTTGAAGCAAAACCCCACCTATTGAAAGGTCAAAACCCCACCTATTGAAAGTCGCTTTATTTTATTTGCTTCATTCTTTTCTACTTTTAAACAAATAGTAGAAAATGGCAAGCTTTCTGTAGCGTTTGAATGAAATAAGCAAGTGTGGTTCGTGTGAAATATATTAAAATGTTCGAAAACTTTTAATTTGTTTGATATAATTATTAATTTTTATACCCTGAACCCATTAAAAATGGGTAAAATGTGTATATTGTATTTGTGCAAAATGCAAATGAATGTAACAGGCAGAAGGAAGCATCTCCGACCCCATAGAGTATATATATTCTTGATCAGCATCAATAGCCGAGTCGATCTAGCCATGTCCGTCTGTCTGTCCGTCCGTCCGTATGTATGAACGCAAGGATCTCAGAACCTATAAGAGCTAGAGACTTGAAATTTAGATGTAGGTGCTCCTAGAGCCGCGCAGATCGAGTTTGTTTCCAATAATCGATAACTTACTCCGTTTCCATGCAATCGATAAAAATTGATATCGATATCCTGTTTTTTGGGCAATTTTGGTAAATAATAAGAGCTAGAGTCACCAAACTTGACATATAGCTTCTAAAATAGAATATATATATATATGCATTTGATGTTGGAAGAAGAGGGTTCAGGGTATCCCCTAGTTGGGAGCTCCCGACTAGAACCTCTCACTTGTTTTTCAATTTATTTGCTGTTGGAATAAGAGGGTTCAGGGTTTTCCCTAGGCGGGAGCCCCCGACTAGAACCTCATTCTTTTTTTATATTGGATTCCAATGTAATCTTCGCAAAATGTTCCTGTTCCGAATGCAATAACCAGTCACTAGGAGGTCCTACATTCTGTGGCTCTTAAGTTTCTGATAACCTTGCGTTCATACATACGGACAGACGGCCATGGGTAAATCGACTTGGCTTTTGATAGTGATCAAGAATATATTTATACTTTGTGGGATAAGAGATACTTCTTTCTGCCTGTTACATGCATTAGCACAAATACATTAGACCCTTTCCACCCATTTTTAATGAGTTCAGGGTATAAAAAACCTTAACTTTCGCTCAAGAGAACATAGTAAATTTCTAGTCTATTAAAAAAAAATAATAAAGTTTGTTTTCAGGAGGCTGGGTTAGAATTTCTAAGCGGGCTATGCAAAAACTTTCTTAGTAATATAATATTGAAATGATTATAATTAAAAGTAACCGATTGTCTATGGGCAGATATCTCGGCATTAAATTTCCACACGGAGATATGTCGTCTGTAGAGCGGCGGTGTTACGTTGCTTTAAAACGACATAATCTCGCCATGATCAACGGCGGAGTTATGTTGTTTTCATATCTCTGCATACATATGCATATTTGTTGTTTCTAGACGGCGAAGTTACATACGTATGTAACTTCGGAGCTTCGCAACTTGGATTGTGAATTAATTTGCATTATTTAATTTTAGCAATGCCCAATAAAGGTAATACAGACGAAACCTCCAAAAAAAATAGAAGAAATACAAATATTGTTATTTGGGGTAGAAAATGCACATATGTATTTTCCTGTTACCCATTAGGCTTCTGCAGACGTATGTACATATATGTACGCTTGTGCGCTCATATGCACAAGCTTACATATGCATGTATGTATTTTCATACATATATACCCTTGTCCATCTCAATTCCTTTCGAATTTGTATATCTGCATACATTCATATGTATGACAGACCCCATCAAATTACTTTTCGTATTTGTCACCAGATTTGTTAAACAGTAATTAATTATTTCGCAGAAAATCAAAGATGTCTGATTTAGATTCTCTTAATCACATTTTAACAATGCTTAAAATAAATATAATATTTTATTTAGGGATTGGCATATGACTAGATAATCTGTAAAAAAATTACAACACACATAGTTTGATCTAACAACCACTGATTTTGTATGATGAGTTTTCCTCTATTCTTCGTTATCAAAATACTTCTTTACTCTCGGCCGTTTCTTAAATGGTAAATGCACTCTCAGAAATTTGTAGGCTATTATGCATCATAGCTAATAAAATGTTTAAGTAACAATGAACGAAGTTAGTATTCTTTAAAATATAAAAAAGCAGTTAATCTGTGCTGTACTCAAAAAAAAAAAATAAATAAATAAATAAAAACGGACTGATAAAATTTGTACATAGATAATTTATTTCTTTGTAATAGTCATAGTTTCCCGGGCGCGTGCCAAAAATGAGGTGCATTGCACTGATCTTCGTTTTTGGTTGATATGATTTGATTTTGCTTGCTCAAACTGTGCGGATAATTGCACGACCACGGAACAAAAAATGAACTACGCAAATATTTTTTCTTCTTTAAATTTATATATATTTAATTATTAACAAGATCACTACTACCCAATATTGGCTGCTTAAGCTAGTTGTATATGAGGGAAAACAAACTTAACAAGACTTACTACTACTTAGTCTAAGGTGTAAAAGGATAAGGCTTTAAGCGAAAAGTTTTTTATTCTGCTAATTATTATATTATATATTTTATCAATGATTTATGTCTTATGGAATCCTGTTAGGTAGATCCTGTGAATGGCACATTGAAATCTTCTCTTTTTTTCCCTAGAGAAATAAACTCCAGTAATGGGGCACCTAATTCTTATTCTTCCAGTAGAAGCAAGGCGCGAGACGAAACTTTGGGAGCTCCTAGGTCTCTCACGATTTCCATAGTACGCATATACCAGGAGCATTACATATCCTTCTAAGAATTTTACTCATGCGGATTGGTCATTTGGATTTTAGATAGATAAGATGCTGAACCAGGTCACGAAAAGCTTTGTTTGCTTCCATCGTCTCCTGAATTAATTTTTCTCATATGAGTGGAACTTTTTACTGAATCCTCGATCATCTATTTCTTCTTTTAAGCGTAGGGGATTATTTATTGTGGGGACATTTTTCTTTGCAGTATTTTTATATACTAAGTTACCTGACCTTGCCATGTCAGCTTAAGAAAAGTGGTTTTGGACAACTGCAGCCGGGAATACGTTCGTTTGGTACTCACATTGTGACTTTAAAAGTACTTAGTACCAGTCTATAAGGTTTATCATCCCGCAGCTGGTGGTGCCAAAACTTACAATTTAGTTGAGTTAACGTTCTAACAACTGATCGAAACATGCGCATGTTCCTTGTCTCTTACATGGTTTACGAGCGATCATAACGCTTGCTACAGTTTCTTTTAGTTTGCCTTTGCGAACAATCGTTAGCGCAACCAAAACCAACTATGAAATTGCTGATAAGAGGTTAAGCGACAAGCATTGAACAAAGTTTTATTACCCCACGTATGGAACTGCGCACAGAGCTTTTGTCTTGACCAGTGGGCAAGCACAACACTATCGACAGCAGCTTTTTATTTGGTGCTATAGTTTCCGCGCTACCGATGCCGACACCGCTGAAGACAATCTTCTAAATTAGAACGTGTGCTAAGATAACACACAGTAAGATGCAAAAAAGAGCAACAACAGTGATTGATTTCGTAATTAGTGCAGTGCGACCGTCAGCAATGAATTCAAAAGAGATACTGAATTATCAGGGTTGCTCACACAAGAACATGGACGCCATAGTTCTTTTTGACAAGGGGGAAATCGATATAAAGGGGTTTTTGTCACGCTCTGTTTCCCAAACGTACGATTTTTAAAGCAGGACCTGTTTTAGACAATGATGCTGAATCAAATTTTCTAGAATGTCGTCGGAATTGAAATCTTCAACCACACTTTTCTCGAATGCTTTAAATTTAAGTCAACTGTCCGATACATCAATTGTTAAAATGAATGAATTCATGCAATGTATACTTAAACATCCTAAAGTCCGTTTTGTTTCTCCCATGCAATCATATAAATATTTGTGTAAATCAAAAGATGGTTCTTTAAATGAAAAAACTAAACCTAAGTGTGCGAGCTGTAAACTAGAAGTGGAAGAGGCAATACGCAATGTTTTTATTTACAATTAAAAACAAGAGGTTCTAGTCGGGAGCTCCCGACTAGGGGATACCCTGAACCCTCTTCTTCCAACATCAAATGCATATATATATTCTATTTTAGAAGCTATATGTTAAGTTTGGTGACTCTAGCTCTTATTATTTACCAAAATTGCCCAAAAAACAGGACATCGATATCGATTTTTATCGATTGCTTGGAAACGGAGTAGGTTATCGATTATCGGAAACAAACGCGATCTGCGCGGGAACTAGGAGCATCTACATCTAAAATTTTTCTAGCTCTTATAGGTTCTGAGATCCTTGCGTTCGTATATACGGACGGGCGGACAGACAGACGGACATGGCTAGATCGACTCGGCTATTGATGCTGTTCAAGAATATATATACTTTATGGGGTCGGAGATGCTTCCTTTTACCTGTTACATACATTTGGATTTTGCACAAATACAATATACCCTTATACCCATTTTTAATGGGTTCAGGGTATAATGAAAACACAATAACTACGATCGTAATTACTTGCATATGAACATTTACTAATACAAACATAAATTTGAATATACATACATACAGTTTGTCAAGTAATTGTTTGCAAAATGAAAAACAGCACACAAATTCATTTTTAAACTTATATTTTACAGATTTAAACTATTTCTTCTTAATTTTTTTTGCATATAATTATTATTCTAAGCATTCTTCATAGATATAAGGCACAAACATAACAAAATTCAAAACGCAAATGTAAAAAAAACAGACAAAACTAAAATGAGGCAATTTTTGCGCTGTCAATTAATTCTTTGCAAAATGCAAAATATTACTATATACATAACTAAATCTAGGAAACTATAGCTATGGTGGTACTAATTTTTGGTATATTGGCCATTAGCATCCATTACAGCCCGCAGACGACGTGACATTGAGTGAATAAGGTTATCTAGGTCATAGATTTCGGGTATTTTTATCCATTCTTCTTGAATGGCCTTGATGAGAACGTTTTTATTAGTTGGGCTCCGTTTCCCTACGCCCTTCTTTAGGAAAGCCCACAAATTTTCAATTGGGTTTATGGAAACTTTTCGTCAGAAAAAATGCGACATAATTACGCCGGCAAAATTTAGTGGGCGCAGACATGTCGGCGGAGCTATGTGGCTGTGCCGAAAATTGTTTTGAGCGTATAAAATGGACATATATGTCAAGAAAAAGGAAAATTTCGCTAGACGGTAAGGGACTGTCTCACGAAAAAAAAACAAGTGCTTAATTTTTTATACTTATGTTCCATCTTCAGGCACACACATTAATTATTTTCTACTTTACATCCATTTTTGCGTCTTTATTCGGTAACAAGCAAACTTCTGAAATCATTTTTCTACCCTACTAATTTTTTATAAAACTCAGTAATAAAAGCGAATTAGTAACTTTAATAAATTAATTAAATAAAATATGACAATTTACTGGCACAATAAGGTTTTTACTCGAATTATTTTATAGTTGTTACCCATTTTGTAAAAACGCTATTAGCATAGATAATTATTAAGTTAGAATTCCATTTTGTGGCCTTAACAATAAATAATGTGAAATGTGAGTCCAAAGCATAAAGAAACCTCGGAATCTTAACGAAAAATAATTTAATGGTTGCATAATCAACGGAAATCTTCAAATAAGTCCCCGCGAAAATTAAAAATACATAAAACGAGTGGGCTATCTTCGGCACGCCGATCTAACCTTTTCATAATATTTATAATGCTTTGAATGTATCTAATAAGCACAGGGAAAATAGTTAATGACGAGTATGGTTTGTATATCTTGGAAAACAAAAAGTTTTTCATACGAAAACCTACTTTTCTACCGATCACTCCTATGGGAGCTATATGATATAGTGATCCGATGTAAGTAAGATTTTGCATTAATGTAGAGAGAACAGTAAAATTTATAATTGCCCTTTGGTCAAGATAGAAAAACAAAAAACTTGTCTATACATTAACTTAATTTTCGACCGATCGTTTCTATTGCAGCTATATAATATAGTGGTGGGATATTGATAGAATTTTGCATATACATATATGAGAAGCATTGAAAAACTAATAAGTGGCGAGTTTGGTTAAGATATATAAACAAAAAAGTTTTTCATATAAGAACCTACTTTTCGACCGATCGTTCCTATGCCACTATATGATTTAGTGGTCCGATCGAGCCGTTTCCGACATATGTACTGCGTGCAACAGAAAGGGGCATTTCTGCAAAGTTATCTGACGAAAGATGGCAAGACTTCAATGTGTCGCAAAACCAAATAATAATGTTAAAATGTGGCTAGCATACAATCTTCAATCTAAGCCAATTTGAATATTGGTTATTGAAAAACGGTCCATTTCCAATAAAACAGCAGAAAATATTGCAGAAAAATTGGAGAATTATCGGGGAGGAAATGACCAAAAGGTTGGGTTTTTCCATGAGATAACGTTTGGAGGTTGTTATACAATAATTGAAAAAAATTAAAATTAAGCTAGATACAAAATTTTCAGTGAGTTTTGTAGGAAATGAACAGCTCTATATGGATTTTCGGAAGGATTTTTGTTACCAAAAAATGGTAATAACTTACTTACATATGGATGTGCCTGAGCATGTTCTATCGATAAGTAAAGTCACGATACAAAATATTGTGTTACATAGTATGTATATAAGCACTTTGCTTACTTTTATCAACGACCATAAAATTCGGATGACGATTTTTATTGATTTCACCAACGCCACCAAGAAGAAATCCCACACAAGTGTCCTGAAAGAATAATTAAACACATATATTATTATATGTACATACACATATGCAAATGTAGTTACTACTGCATAGGGCTTTAAAAACTTTATTTGCTCACCTCGTCCCCTATAACAGAGATTAATTTTCCTTTGATTGCCGAATGCAAAGCCATTATACTTATTTACGTTTAATGTGAGTAAATCAGTGTAAGGTCTTACATCAAGTAAAATGTCAGCTGACGAAAGTCACGAGACGACAACATAAAAACACCTAAAAACGCCTTACCACATAAAAAATACACGGTCCCCCTAGGGGCTGGTATTAAACAATGCGTAGTACGTTGACCATAATTAATGCATGATGAATACTATACGGTATTATTAGAATCGAGATAAGATGTAATACTATTGAGTATGTACGTATCGTACTGGATATTATTATATTACCGTTATGCCAAATTTAAAAGAAATCAAGATTTCAAGCCTTGGAAATTTCTTGGTAAGAGTTTAAAGACTAAAATTTGTATAAAGCTTTCTTTTCGGACGAAAATGCAGCAAAACACGGGACTTTGTAATATCCAATCTGCAAGTTAACGATTATCACTAACCATAGAATATATAGACTGGACAACTAGAGTAAAATAATAGGATCATGCATTGTTTTTGTAGGCAGGTCCAAAGTCGTTTTTGTTTTTGTTCGGGTTCGAGATACATATATGTATATGTGTTTTTATCCACTACACTAGCTTGTGCTGGCAAAGAAGCTGAGAGTACATTCTATTTTTACCGTTTTCGCTCTTCAGCTGTAAGAGCGCAATGACGCTACTTCGTTTTCGTTCCTCAAACTGCATATTAGCATTTTGTTGTATGGCGTTACACATCTTAGTGTTTATATTGTCTTTGGTAGTTGTCAATACCCAAAAATGTACGTATTAACGCTTCGAAGCCACTCATGCTCTGTTCAACTTTCGACGCTGGCTCTTTGTGTATTAAGGCAAAATACATTTTCCAATAAGCCGTTTTTATCAGCAACACGCTAACGAACTGCTGTTTCTACTAATTTGATTGGCGCAATTGTCGTCACAGGCTGGCACCAACTCGGGCTGTCACTGCTGCGCAGCTCAGAATTCAGCTGGACGCGTCGTTACCATTAAAGAAAGACAACATAGGCTGCAGCTGTGTATCTTTCTTGAGCCCCACATTAAGGAAAACGCGTTTGTGATGAGAAATTTAAATAAAATACTGGGCGTAACTATTTGCTGAACAACTTGGCAAGTTTTAAAATACTAGAATTTCTCCTCAGAGTTGGGCATATAGGGATATTAAAACCGAGTACGTTGGCGATGAAAGCCAAGAGGTATGTTTCTGACGCCAAACCTAAAATATACAGAAATAGATCCGGCACTCCTAAAAGCGTTATTATTTATCAAGAACCTCGCTTTAAAGAAGAATCTCCTACGGAACTTGAGTCGGTGAGTAATCAAGTTGGCACTTCAAGAGTAGAAGTGTATCAGAGTAACCGGTGACCCAAATATTAAGTGTGAAGTGAGGTTAGACATTGTGAACTCCGTCCCAACTTTTCACGGAACTCAAGACGAATATGTATCTTGGATGAAGTCCACCGTGGATGTATACAAAAACTTCAGCAATGAAGCTGAAGCTGTTTACATTTTATGAAAAAATAAAGTTTGCGGCACAGCAAGATCCGTGCTAACGTGTCACAGCACAGTACTTAACTTTGGCGCAATTATTGCTAGACTGGATTGCACCACTAGGCACTAGGCAATCGAATCAATAATTCTTAATGAGAGTGAGCCCCAAGAGTGTTTGCGACCATTTTGCTGTGTACAGAGAAAATAAGAATAACAGAAGAGTTTTTAAAGAAAAATCGAAATTCTTTAAGGAAAGTAATGAGTATTTATTTCGTAACTAAAGGAGGGGCGAAAACCAATCTCAAAGGTCAAAGCGATCCATAAATATGTTGAAGCAAAAAACTTATATGCTCTGAGGTATTTTATGAAGCAAAAATCTCTGGCCTGCGAGTGATCTACTTGTGCATACATCCACACAATACAAACATATGTATGTTTGTAGATTTCGGGGTTTTTTTGAAAGATATGCAGAATTAGACGCACAAGTGCAGAAAGCAATGAGTGAGAGCGAGTTGCACATGCATACACGCATATGTTTGTGGGCTGTAAGGAACTCAAAGCAAACATACATATATTCTGAAAGAACATCAGCCGCAGCGACGTTGTACACTGTGCGAGATATATCCTTCTACCGAATGATCCGCTCTCGAGGCTCGGCGTTTAGTTGTCACTCTCAGCAGTAATACAAGGCGAACCAATATTATGTTAAGCCAAAAAACCTTTAACCAACATATTGAAATGTGAAAATGGGACGGTTGGTAAAACGCGAAGCATTCGAGCGTTAAAGAAACATACTGGCTACTGTACGGACTTTAAAAAGCCCTTCGACTTATCCATTGACGGTTCCGCGAGTGGTATTGGAGCAGTTCTATCTATGTATTGGTCTTCTGTAAACGGCAGAATTATCTGTTTTTTACCAGAGAATTACACATTTTCACAGATCATCAACCGTTCATTTTCGCTGTGTCTAAAAAGAACACTAACGCATAGGTGGAGGCTTTCATTGAAAGCAAGAAAACTTCACGGCAGACGCCCCATCCCGGCAAGACATCAATGCCTTGCAAGACGAACTGCAGATCGATGCAGCCACCATTCACAGTCAGCTCTCTTTGGCCTAAACAATTGGCATAACCGAAAACGTTTTAAATTGCCTTAGAAATCATGTAATTCTAGAAGAGGCATGTTACACTTTGAGTTGAAGACTCATTATGATTGGTGGTAAGCCTCACCACATAGTACAATCCACGGACAATGTCATAAAAACAGCAAAACCTATAGTGAACCCTGACGTTGTAAATGCGATTTATTGTGACCTTCCAACTCTGGCCTTTTTTTTAACAGGAGTTACAAGTTACAATTTCCAAAAACTAAATTCTGACACTTTAAAAATATGGTAACAAACATCACAAAAAAAAAAACCAACCAACCAACCAACCACAAAAAACCAAGTTAAAAATAATTCCGGTTACCCCAATGATATTATTTTTCTTTTAAAATTAGTGACGGAAGTGAATAATATAGATTGGCTTAATTGTCTTCTGCCGGCTTTATTGGAATAATTATCACACTTCTAACCGCAACAATTGCCAGAATCACCGATTTTACACGTGCAAATTATATCCACTTGTTGGACGGTAGTATGGGAACAACGTAGTAATGTAAGACATTCGACAAACTTAACCGACTTCAAAGCCACTGTACTATTATAATAAAATCTCCAAATTATTTCCCCAATCGCTTATGCGAAAAATGTTAGTTGTAGATATAGAAGATGTTCAAAATTTATTATCAGCCTTAATGATACACCATAGAATAGCCAGAAGTTGGATTTCCTAGGTACGGTTCGGCTTTTGAAAATTGTAAGATGATTGACGCGCAGCGTCACCTTTGAGCTCATAGCCATAATAAAGAACACTATATATTTGAACCATCATTAAGCTATAGGCAAAGTCCCAGACATCGCGGCTGCACCCTACTGAATATCAAGGGGTACGACCAGGTATTGATCTGGTGAGCAATTGCAATTGCAGTCAGCCTCTTCTTCCGTGCCTTTATATTTAAATATGAGTTTAGCACCACCGAGGACGGCCATGATCTTGAGTGGTGAGTAGTTAATAAGCAACTCTCGCGCCATGTGTTAATAAACCCCTCGTGCACAATGCTGACACGATTAGGAACGATGGCCAAACACTTGCATATGTCGCAAGTGCTGAGTTGTCATTATGGTTATGTTGATTATGCCGGTTTGACGACCATGACTTCATGGCATGATATTTTGTAGCCAACTACTTTTCCGCCCATAGCTTAAGTTTCAATTCTATTATGTTTGAAAATTTAGTTTGCATCAAGCGTATAGCGAATAATCTTGTAATAAATGCACTACTCCGGCTTGACCGATATATATCTACATTTATTGCCACGTGATCTTCACTAACCTTGAACCGGCTACCTCAAAATACATCTATATCATCGAAAGCAGCGGCGTTTGAATATCGACCTCAAACAGTTTAACGGTTCTCTAACACCGACATACGGACACCGAACGGTCCGTTTTGAGGTGGAAAGGTAAAATGAATAGCCTGAACACTCGGTATTCTATTTCATATTACAAATAGGTAAGAGGTTCTAGTCGCGAGTTCCCAACTATGGAATGCCCTGAACCCTTATTCCAACACCAAATGTAGTTCGCGCAACGCTCTCGTTTGAAGTAATAAAGATAAAATAAAAAAAAAGAAGTTACCTTGGCAGCGCTCAAACTCGCAACTGAACGCATACCAATAAAAAACGAATTAAAATAGCAGCACAGAAAACAATCGCAATTCCAATGCCGTTGAAAGAATTCGAAGAATGTGTGTGTGTACATGTATACAGAAACTCTTGCAATTTGCGCTAGCTGCCCCATTCTTTTGCGCAGTAACCGATCTTAATGAAATGTTCTACAGTATAACTAATGTACCATAAACAGACATACCAAACAGCATTTTTATCGAATAACGATAAATTGCAACGAGGGAGCCCCGAGGGTGCCTACGGCCATTTTAGTGTGCCCAAACAGAGCAAGACTGCTGAGAGTGGCAGCCGAACGTCGGCCTCGAAAGCCGAACGTACAGTATGAAGCCGCATCTCGCTCAGCGCATAACGTCGCTGCGACTGATGCTTTTTTTTGATAAAGCTATGCTAGTTTTAAATCCTTACCCAAAAACATATTTGTGTATGCATATGCCTCGCTCTCACTTATTGCTTTGCGCACTTGTGTACATTCTTTCTCTCTGCATAGCTTCCCACAGAACCCCGAGATCTACAAACATACAAGTTATTTGGTTTCTCAGTTGTAAATGTTGATGTATATTCAGATCCCCGTCACAGGTGCTGGATTGGTAAGGTAATATTCCTTGTAGATTATGTTCGGAAAGCAACTAGCTTTCCAAATCACTGGCCTTGTGGTTCAGCAATGAAACAATTAGTATAACGGATTGATGACGGCAAGTGCCGGAGCAGTATATTTGAAGAAGTTGTTCTTACAAAGTTGGATACAAAAGTGAACTGGAATTGGAACATTGAATTGGATCTGAACCCAAAGGCTATGCGCATA